AGTTTAGAGAAGGGAAACAGTGAAGCTGTTAATGAAGTTACCACCACTGATGTGACTGTTACCGATAATGGAACATTTTTCTGATGTAAATCAAAAAGAGCAAAGGTCCTAAGACTGAGCCCTGAGGTACCCTACTTGTGACATTAATCCAGTTTGACTGATCTCCATTTGAAACAACCCTCTGCTTTCTTCCATTCAGCCATTCTGCTATCCAGTTTGCTAACTTATCCCATATATCTATAAATATTTTTTTTTACAAGCCTTTTATGTTGCATATTGTCAAATGCTTTCTGAAAATCCAGAGACACCAAATCTACACTCTTACCCTCATTTACAATAGCAGTAACCTTTTCAAAGAACATTAAAAGATTTGTAAGGCAAAATTTTCCCATAGAGAAACCAGAAAATACATGCATGTAGTATTATGCTAATATTATGTATTATATTTCTTGTTTAAGTAAGTGTAGAGTTTCTGTATTTATGAAAAAGAGGTGAGTGACTGTGTGTCTGACTGTAAAGCACCAGAAGCCTTGTGGTGTTCAACATTCTCTGGGAATATATAATTCATATTAATGTTATCTTGTAGCAGTCAACAAAATAAAAACTAACCAACCCCCACAATGTTAACAAACACCAAACCTGAGGTCTAGCTTACAGAATGTAGTTTGTTAATCAGCAGCCTGGACTGTATAGCTGGGAACTGTGGTTGGGATATCTTTGGTTAACAGGTAAAAGAAATGAATACACTTATAATTCATACAGTGTTTTGGTATTTAGGAAAAAAACACTATCAAAGTTAATCAATAACGAGAGGTGTGCCATTCAAAATCCTATATATATATATATTAATTTTTTTATTCTTTTTATGCTCAGATATTCACTGTAAATCCAAATGAATGGAGGCACAAAGTTTCTTATAATATTAAAGGTGTATAAATAGGAAGAGTCATGACAGAGATCACAGTAGATTTATTTATGGTGAAAATTTTTTACACAGAATGGATTTTTTTCAACATTTTATCAAAACTATGTTAAATTTTTACAACACATTAGATGGCAACTTTTTCTAATACTTCAGAACTTGCATCTTTATTTGTAATTATCAGATTCAACCGCTACATTGCTTGAGACAGTCACCTGGTAAGGAACAAGCAGCCATGTCATCTAGTTCTCACACAGCAGAGAAATCTAGCAGCAGTGAGTGTCAGAAAGAAAAGGACATTCAAGGATGTCACCATGGAGATACCAACACTGCCAAGTGTGAACATTCTCATCACCAAATGGATCCTGAAGTTGCATGGCTGTATGAAGCAACTCATAAAGGAAATAGACCACCAGAGGAAACATGCAAAATATATGATCAACATGCAGACGACTATGAAAAGGTATCTTATAAAACAGAAATAAGTGGTATCCGTATTTTGTTATGGCACAATAAATATACTTCTATATACCACGGTAATTTATTTGTTTGAATTATATGTGTTACTTAAAAGTATCAATTTAATGTCTGTTTTTGTCAGATTTTGCACACACATCCTGAATGTGCTTTTTTTCTTTTATTATTACTCTGATGTAACAGGGTTGATAACTTGGAACCAAAATGTGGCTTTTTTGTAGAAAGTATTAAACATATTTGCAGAAATTTGTCTAAGGATGAGACACTATTCTATGAGGAAGAATCCCTGAAGAAGTGAAAATTGAGATTATGGAGAATTAAAAATGTACTAAGTTACTTATAAGAAGATGCTTTAACCAACTAAATTACAAATGTCACAAGTATTGGTTATCACTTCCTTTATTTGTAAGAGTACAATACTTCTTCTACAGACATGCTCAGCAAGTAGAAATGATGTTTCAAATCTCTGGTCTGACTTATCATTATAAAAGAAAATATTTTGATATCATCTTTAAAAATGACATTTTGTTAAAAACAAATTCTGAACTTAGTAAGCTAAGTGACAAAGATTGAGAATCTTGCCAAATTCTGTTCTTACAAACTAATATTGTGAGTAATGAGAGGTTACAGATCCAACAACATAGTTGGTTAACACACCTGCACAGTGAGTTGAATTACTGGTTTAAATCATGGTCAGTTTTACTATAGATATAATCAAGTGCAACTAATATTAATTTGAGTGAAGTGTTGATAATATTTTGATATTCAGCAGCTTTCTATGTTGTAACTTTCTTATTTCTTACTTAATGTCATCTCAAATGTATTCAAAATATTTTTACAAAAATCAAGTTTCATGTTTTGACAGAAATCATATTACATATTCTTTTATAAGTGCTTCTGTCTCTTTGTGTTTTCTAGTTTGCAAGTAAATTTACATGTGAAGAATGGTCCCTTGTTGTAACTGATGTGATAGAAACCAAGATCCTGAAGGATAAAAGTTGTAGAATCTTAGATGTTGGAGCTGGGACTGGTGCTAATGGAAATCTGGTACTTAAATTCAAAGTGAAACATTTATTTAAAATACATAAAAAATTTCAAAACTAGAACTTTATTATGATTCATACAAAAATATAATAGCATGCAAGTTGATACTGGAATGTTATAATATGTGAAAATATTTCATTATAATATCAAGATTTTTTTTACTGAATAATAAACTTAGCCAGTAAATGTACAGAAGTGATACAGCTGTTACGACAGCGGAAGTCACTAGACGCTGCTGGCGCATGCGTGACTGAGTTTCTCGAATTACCAGGAACTCCTTGAATGCTGGAGATGCCTCTTTGTTAGTATATAAGCCTGGTGAGAAAATCCAGCGGAGTTAAGCGAAAAGTAGTCACGGTGAGTTTTGAGTAATTTATGATTCTGTTTCGAGCTAGTGTGTGTTTTGCACTGGTAAAGAGTGAAATTATCGAGATTGTGAATCGCTGTGATTTATAGTGTGTATTATAAACGTTGTTAAGTTTAAAAGTGCCGAGAAATGTACTAACTGTGGAATTACTGTGTACTAAAAGTTTGTATCGAGAAAGAATAAACTGTTTTAATCAAGAATGGACTTGTACCGCTGAAGTTCTTCGGAAAGAATTTCTACTGGAAATTAACAAACAAGTAGATATGTAACATAGCTATAAAAGCACAAAATAAAAGTAGAATAGAACATAGTAATATTTAAGAAAAAAAAAGGTATTTGTTGTTATTCTGCTGCTTATTTTTCATTTTTAAAACACTTGAAATTGCAGTCAAGACACCTAAAGCTTTAGAGAGGTCTCTGGTGGATCTGGGGACCTACAATGCTAACAGTTAGGTTCTAATACCCACACTGAGCACAGCACAGATAACACCATTTGTGTAGCTTTGTACTTAATAACAAAAAAAAAAAAAAATAAACGTTCGTTAAAGAAAAATAAATTAG